GGCGGGTCAGGAGCAGCAGGAAGAGCCCCGCGCGCTGCAGCGCCAGCCCCGACCCCCCGAACACCTTGGGGGGTCGCACGGCCACCCCGTTCACTGTCACCTCTCGCCCTGCCAGTGCGGACCGAGGGTCACCCCCGTGTCCCCCTGCCTGTTCCCCCACATCCCCCCGTGTCCCCCCATGGCCCCCGTGACCTCCCACGTATTGCCCGTGTCCCCCGTGTCCCCTCATGCTCTCCCCCCAAACCCCACCCTGCCGCGACGGGGCTGGGGTGTCACTGTGGGTCACCCCGCCACTTCCCCGTGTCCCTCCGTGTCCCCCCATGGCCCCCGTGTCCCCCGTGTCCCGCGTGTCCCGCGTGTCCCCTGTGTCCCCTCACCCCTCAGCATGTGCACCACGGTGTCCCCCGTGTCCCCCGTGTCCCGCGTGTCCCGCGTGTCCCCCGTGTCCCCTCACCCCTCAGCATGTGCACCACGGTGTCCCCCGTGTCCCCCGTGTCCCGCGTGTCCCCCGTGTCCCTGTGTCCCCTCACCCCGCAGCATGTGCACCACGGTGTTGCCCATGGCCACCACCACGGACTTGGTGCAGGTGACGCCGCTGGCACCGCAGGGGACGTTCTCGGCGGTGACAGCGAAGAGCCCGGTGGCCTCGCGGGCCAGCAGGTACTCGCAGTCCCCCGCGAAGGTGAAGGCGCGGCCGTCGAAGGTGACATAGTGGGGGTCCCCCGTGGCCACGCAGGTCCCCGCGCACTCCTCGCGCCCGCAGTGCCACCGCTGTCCCCGGCACACGCTGCGGGGACAGGCTCGGTGCCACCGCGGGGGCTGGGGGCGGCTCCGAGGGCCCAGCAAGGCCCTGGGGGTGCCCGGGGGTCCCACCAGGTGTTGCAGTCGCGGGCGATGGTGGCGTTGGGCGGGTACAGCTGCCCGCCGTGGTGACAGGGACACTCGGCCGGGGGCACGCAGCGCCCGTCCTGCCACCAGAGCGCGGTGAGGGGGGTGAGGGGG